ACTGTTATAAAGAAAAACACCCAACAGTGCATCCAGGGACCAACAGCTAGCTTAACATCACATAGACATGAGTTGATATTTCAACTTATATGGAAAGGGAGAACTGACAGGAAGTTAAAGCTAAATTAATACATGTAAATGGTAGGAGGTAAATAGAAATAGGGTTAAGATCCAGCCAATAAGGAGTCTCTATTAGAAAGAGAGATGAATCATGACCGGTAAGTGACTCCATGTGTGAAAGGGAAACAATTAATAATCTGTGTGTCTGCAGTATCATTACGACCATCTCACAGAACTTCTTAGTGGTTTTTCAGACATTAGAAACTCAAATCACATTGTAAACATCCATCCAGGGGCATAAAGGCCCTCTGGCAGACTCAAGGGGCTGAGCACTTCATAGGGGCCACACACCTTGCAAAACGTATGGGGGTGACCCAAGCGTGGGGCCCAAAGTAACATTTTGTCGGGGGGCCCAGAATTTCTAGCTACGCCCCTGCATCAATCCATCCATCCATTGTCGAACTACTTATCCTGATTAAGTTTTCTGGGGACGTCGCAAATGGGGTAGTCACTTCCAGAACATAATTGTCTTCTTAGCCATTGACCCATCTTACAACTTCTTTTCCAGTATCGGATGATGGGGATTCTGGAGCCAGTCCCGGGAAGCACACAGAGCAGGAGTGTGGGGTCACACTGTAACCTGATAAGCCACCATGCTAGCAACGTTTAGTAAAGCATTTGTCTGCGGTACGTGCGTGCGATACCACTCATTTCAATGGCTTATTTAGCATTGAAATTTGCATATGTCACCCGTTTCCTCAGCCTGAGCAGATCCATTTATCCCTCGTTTACAGTTGTCAGAAGTCGCTGTGAGGACAGCTTGTCGGGGAACGTGAGTGCCTTTCTGGGATTAGCAGCATGTAGAGCGAAGGAAAGCCGATTTCCACATGTATGGCATATCTACCCATCGAGGGATCCAGCCGCGCTGCTTTCCTTCTGAAAACCCAAAGCCCACCCGAATTAGACGCCGGTTGGCCTCCACAAGGGGCATTAGCAGATTTCGGAAATGCAGCTGACTAATCATACAGCTCTTCTTGATGCTCCCGTTCATCTGGAATTAGCGGCACCTAGGACATGGATAAGTATATCCATGTCATTATAAGCTGTTTTAAAATATCCCTCCTTTTCGTTTTACATCTGAAACATTATGGGAGATGTTTCCTTAAATAATTAGCTGTCCGATGGTAAAATTAACATTTTTATTATACTGGAAATGCCTCGTTATTTTTACGGTAGAAATAATTCCATAAAAACCTGAATTCACACGTTAACAGAGACAAATGTGATATACAGATATCTCTTATGGATTTGTTTCGTTCCTTCATTTATTTATTTGTTTGTTTGTTTGCCTATTTATTTCTTTGTCTATTTATTTTGTTTGTTTGTATGTCTATTTATGTGTTGGATGTGCTGCCCTCTAGTGTTCATAGTGGAACACTGTCACCAGGATTTAACTACGCCAGTGGAGACTTCCCGTTGTAGATCAGTAGAAGTCTGACCACAGTAAATCCGGATTCAGCTGAAAATCCTCACGAAACATAACTCTGACTTCTGCTCCACATGGTGGTCTGGGGCCTCCGTCTTGTATCCCTGCCTCTGCTCCCACATGGTGGTCTGGGGCCTCCGTCTTGTATCCCTGCCTCTGCTCCCACTTGGCGGTCTGGGGCCACCCTCTCGTACCCCAGCTCCCGTTGGCTCCCTGTCTGCCCCTGGAAGATTGTTTATGTGGTGTTTGGCTGCCATGTATTGCTGACATCACACACATGTCAGTGTAACCCAGGCAGCTGTCACATTTAGTAGTTATTCTAACAAAACTGTATTTACCATAGCATAGCTTTGTAAACATAACAAACATGAAAGGTTTATATAATATTGAAAATATGATATTAATAGATATTCCGGAATTCTTTAGTTATAAATGTAATTTTAAATGTTTGTTATTCAGATCTGTGTGATGTCTTTGTCAGAAGGCAGCTTGGTTTGTTTTACGCTGCGGAGTAAATATGCTTCACACTCAGTCTGGCAGTTACGGCACCCCGGGGTTGGTGTCAGATTGGCTGCTGCAACTCCTACAATCTCAGTAAACAGGTTTATTCTGGGGTTTTATTTAAACTGAATTTCCTACTGCATTGCAATTACAATAAAAAATTATTCTATTCCACATCCTTTCCCCGTATCTTTCTCATAAATCTTCATTAAAGTTCTTTCGAGAAAAATCATTATTTGTCTGCATTACAGAATGGAGCCGCTAGATGGCAGTGACAAACCACAAGACACAGTTTTATATTCCAAGTGTCTTTGGTCCCAAGTCCAACCATTTAACCTAAGCAAGGTTACAGGTAAACTACTGTTCAAAATAAGCACAGTGTTCCTACAGTTTTATGTGAATTACAGATTCTAATTTCCTTATAGGTATTAATTTGTTTCTATTATCCCTGGATCAGAATTAAAGAGCTGACACTAACAGAAGCTGAGATAGAAATCATAGCATAGGTGGGCCAGCAGAACATCAGGTGGGCCTGTCCAATAGGAATTCACTTGGTGACAAAATTACACTAAACATTCAACCACCTAATTTTTAATCAGTTTTATTATTCAAGAACCCATGGCACTACTAAGAACAAATGAACAAAGAAAAAGGAAAAATCTATCGATGGCGCTTCTGAAACTGATATAACTATGCACACGCATAGATGCCAGACAAAATGATTTTATCGTGCTGCATCGCTGAATGGCTGGAGCCTGAGTTCCATCTTGTCGGCCGTCACACTATATGCATCTTCGTCAGTCATGACCTTTTAGAAACTGCGGAGATTTCACAGGTCCTACACAAGCCCTCCAGTCACCCTCCTCTGGGTAACAGTCACATGGTTTTTCTTCCCAGTGACCTATCAGACCTTCTATAGCAGGGGTGTCAAACTGCAGTCCTGGACGGCCGGAGCCCTGTGTAGCTTAGTTCTTTCCCCCTTCCACCACAAATGATTCAGCTCAAGAGCTGTGTGGTAATTAGCACAAGGAGTTGAATCAGGTGTGTTAAATGAGGGGAAACCCAAAAATGTGCAGGGATCTGGCCCCCCAGGACTGCAGTTTGACACCCGTGTTCTATAGTAAGTCGCACAAAGGTGAGTTTAGCTGACAGGTTGCTATAACTTGTCGATGCAGATGTTCCAGAGGTGAGCACTAAGTGAATCATACAGAGAGGGACAGAAAGAAAAGCCCTTGTATTTGGGAACCCTGTCAGCAGCCAGTGGGGAACCATCCAAGATTCAGACTGTCAGCATCTGCTTGAATGTTCCTCTGATCAAGGGCATCACCTACCTGGCACCCTGTGTTTACCATGATATACTCCTGGCTCACTGCAACCCTGTCTTGGATGGATGGATGATATGATCTGGTTTGCTTTGATTGGTTAGTGGGAATCTGAATACACATAAGTCACATACACATACTGTGTCATGACAGCAACTAAACAAACAGAACAATCACATAATTCGATGCCTTAAAAAACCATATAAAAACCTTATAAAAACCTTTATAAAACCTTTCTGAAAATCCATCAATCACTTTTTTTTTCCTCCCCAATACAGTGTTTAAAACAACAAATTTAAATTTAATCAATGGTGTTGATTCTACTGTGGCGGTGTTTCTATGGAAACTCTCCAGCCCTCAGAAGCAAGATTAAAGATACTCACTCATCCATGTGTATTAAAATTGTAGGAACTGCTGCTTATTTACATTCACATATAATTGATGAACTGTTGATAAAGCCAAGCAACTGATGAAACATATAGGCTTACCCTGCAGCGATTAGGGGATATGCAATAGCACAAATCTATCATTTGCTGGTATGACATCATATATTATATCCACATATAATATCTTTGCATATACACTGTTATTTCTCAACTGTTTAATTTACCTTTCTTTCGAACACTTTCCCTGGCTGGAGTGGTGGGGTGGGGTGGGGTGGGGTGGGGATGTGGAGCCTATGCCAAGATACATAGGATACATGCTGGACACTTTGCCAATTCATTTCAGGGAACAAATTAGAGACACCAATTAACCTGACGGCATGTCTTTGGAACGTGGAAGGAATTCTACACAATGAAGGGAGAAGATGCAAATTCCACACACACACGCGCACACACACACACACACACACACACACACAGAGAGAGATATTAAGTATCTATATCTTTGTGGGGACTCTCCATTAACTTATATGGTCTTAACCCTAATCCAAACTATCACAACCTTAACCCTTACCCAGTCCTAACCTTAACTATAAGTAACCAAACAAAATACAAGACTGAAATTTTTAGTTTTTTGATTGCAGTCACAGATTTTTATCAAATTCAATTTCCTCTTGTTGGGAGCAAGAAAATGTCCCCACAAAGTCAACATAACAGGTTTTTAATCAATATAATATATACAACCCCCCGACACACACACACACACACACATTTACAGCCACAGTGCCACCTTGTTTGAATTCGTGTTAATTACTAATAGATGTGATTTTTAGGATATTCAGTTCAAGAAACTTCGATTTGCGGGGTGTATCATAGGGTTTATTTATGATTTCATCGCCGACATTTGAACATTTACAGGGAGCCTGTGATTAGGAAAGATGGATTTAATTTTAAACGATGTCAATTTAATGTTATGCATAGTCCACATAACCCGATTTGGAAGGTGCAGATGCGTTTCACTGATTAATCTTTAGTTGTTTTAAAAAACACTAAAGTGCGGGCCCTTCATTTGTTGAATCAAATGTATTTTCTTTGTTTTAAACGTGAACAGTGACGATCGGCCCTATGCACCTGAGTGAAGGGCGTCCTTAGCACTCACAGGTGGGTAGGCGGTGCGGTGATTAGTGAGGACCCATACTGCGAGCTAAGAATCTCATTAAAAGAGGGGTAACTATAGACTAGAGAAAGTGAAGGAGACGCAAACAGGCATTCGTCTGTTGTAGGGGGGAGGTATATCCCGAGCTGTACAAATGTCATCGAGCACAGTTCAGTCGTTTGGGAAGCTGGAGGTGACTTCTCGCCCGTGCGCCTTTGGACCTTTAACAATCTGAACACATTTCCTTTGGCGCTGTTTGGGATGCCTGATGCACGGTTGTTCGGGTGTTGAGAGTACCTGGGAATAAACTGGGCAGGCGGCGGACGACGGTGGTGTGTCCGAAGGCTGCGATCCGAGAAGCGCGGCGGACTGAATACTGGCTGACAGACATGCCGACTTCTGGGAAACTTGACACCCTCGTGGTCCTGACCCTCCTTTGGGCTTGTCCAGGTACGTCTGTTTTCCGTAAGGTTTGCCGAGGTTTACACCCTAAATTGCATCCACAGGTTAGAAACTGGGAACGATTTCAAGATAATGTACCGCTCGTCCTTAACTGCAGTTTGGCATCACCTAGATCTACAACATGATCTTGAGCGTCCTCAGTTACAGGGATCCGAGGATTTTCACCGTGCGTTATAGACAAGTAATCCTAAGCAATGCCAGTTTTATAATGAATTCCTTGCATCTTCTCCTACGGGAAGTACGTTTTTAAATAGCGCAGTTTAATGAATGTGCTATTATATGTCTTAGTCAGGGTCCTTTATTGTATCCTAATTTTTAAATGGCTTATAGTGCGTTCATGTTTAACTGTTACAACTACCAGAAATTTATGTTTGATCTTTAAAGCTTGTACAATAGCAAGATGTAATTGCATGTCTTCATAAAACGGCATTCATTGTTAATTGCAAAATATCCGGTGTGAGAAAATAAGGGTTTCTACACATCTTCAGTGGGCATGATATCCCACATTTACGTCGTTTTGAATTGTCGGACATTTACCAGTTGAAGACACTGGGCAAAGCTGAGAAGGAAATGGTAATGTTTAAATTTAATGGAAAGATGAGAGAGACTAGTGACCTGAAGGTTTGTGGTAATGAGGGGCATGTACTTTGATGTAAATCCTACCTCTCAGAGGGTGTGTGTGTGTGTGTGTGTGTGTGTGTGTGTGTGTGTGTGTGGGGGGGGGGGGGGCGTTCTATATTATATTTTATGGAAATGCAATATTTGAAAAATCATCAATGTTCATTTGATGAAGCTTCACAGCTTAGTTTCAGGACTTCAGAATTGAGCAAATGTTTTAGTGCTTTCAACAGGCTTTGCAGTTAATAATAGATTCAGTCCCAATTGAGTTCTGCATTAATAAACTATTTACCTGACCATTGCAACTTAAAATATCCAGTAAAAGGGGCATATTTAGTCTGGTTGCTTCCCCTGAGTCCTCTCATTTGTTCAGTTCATTTTGCAAATGACCTGTAAAACGATACTGTGCAGTTTTTGTGATATTGCTGTAAGGTATTGGTCAGCTTCAGAAAGGAAGCTTGCTTAAGTTAATGGTTTTTGTATGACCTTCTCATTTGCACGTCTCCATAGTCCACCTTTCAAAGTCGGCAGCCTGACCTCCTCCTGGGTTCACACCGTACATCAGACCGAAGGCTTTGCTGGTTATTACACATGCAGACAGGTGGCTAGTTGTTATTCAGGTAGAACAATGACTGGTTTCTTGTATTATTTTTGAACTAGAGGCTGCTGTGTAACTAAGTGATCCCATCATTCAGACAAACAGCCGAAATATTCCTTTCCATATATTGGTTAAGTGGTTGAATGAATGTTTCACTGTTTTGCTTAATGATGGTTCCATGCATCTGTTAAAGAATCCATACGTTATGCGATGTGCAACTTGCATGCTTTAACAAGGGAGGTCCAGTCCTTTTGTCCAGCAGGAGTGGTTATGGTTGGGGCCGGTTTTTTTTTAGGTATTCTTGGCTTGTTCCACCTGCGTGGTTAAGGCCGAGTGTGAGAGAGTGCTTTCTGTATGCTAGTGGGACTCTAAAGACCCCGGGGAAGCTGCTGACCGCTAAACAGGATCTCCTCAGATTTAATGCCAGATTTAGCGGCTTGTTTGACTAACCTCTGATTAAAAACAAGCACCAGTGTGACGTCTGATGCGTCTACGGCTCTGGCTGTGTGTGTGTGTGTGTGTGTGTCTCCTTTAAACCTACCCTCTATATGCAAGGACTTTTAGCTGTATTCTGACATCCTGAATGCGGAATCATCTTGGCTTTTCCCATAATTCTCCCTTTAACTTTGTAACGAAATAAATGTAACTATAGTGTACCAGCTAAAGTCAATCACTGGTGTTTAACTTTAGCAAGTCAATACTGCTGTATGCAGTGATATCCAGGGTTTTTTTTTTTTTTTTTTTTCGTGGATTCAGATTTTCTGTCTGTGTGATGCAGGGCTGCTCTGTGGCCTCATGTCTGGCAGGGCTGGGGGTTCGAGCCTAACCGGCACAGCCTTTGTGGGGCTTTCATGTTCTCGCTAGGCTTTTGTTCCTTTCCACAGTCCAAAACCGTGCTCTTAGTCAAACTTGGTGCCTTTAATCCACCCACAGTGATTGGCAGCCTATTCCAAGATGCACATTCTGCATTTGCTGTCCCCTGCCTTGTGCCATTTCTCAGAACAAGTTCCAACCTCAACCAGACCCTGAACTGGATGGTGATGGACAGCAAAGAGGGAGGGAATAAGAAACTGTGGCGTTCTGATTTTCTTAGTTTGGATGTTTGGATGTTTGTCTTCTCTCGCCCCCATTCTTGGGGCAAACGTATTAGAGTATTTTAGCCCCCGTGTCGATACCTTCCTGCGTAACGGCATTAGCTGGTGTTCCCTGACATCGCTCTGTGTGGACGGGCTGGGTGGAGCCTAGCTGGGCCCAGGTGTGGGCTGGTCAGCACTGGGGATTTGCCGGCCGTGATCCAAGCTGAACGGCAGAACCGGGCCTGGTCGTGTGAGGCTAATGTGGGGCCCCTGGGTTGATCCAGCCCAGGACCTTGAGAGGGGCGGGGGGGGGCACACGCCTAGAGCAGCTGTTCATATCTCACAGATTAACGACATCATCTGCCCCCCCCCCCCACCCCACCTTCCAGTGCTCCCATATTTAACCAGCTGTTGACTTGAGTTACCGTGGAGCAGCTGAGTCTGGCTGGTCTGCGCCCCAGCAGGGGCTGATTCCAGTCCCTCATGTACAGCCTTGATCACACAGCTGTGCTTCAGCCCTGCCAGCTCTACATGCTCCTGTTACAGCATGAAATTGGCCTTCACATGCATCCTTAAATTAGTCCGCCACCTCCCTTGGGCAGAAAAAAAAAAAAGACCGATTTTTAATCATTAAGACCAAATTTGGCTTTTCATGCAGTTAGAATAAATGTTCCAATTCATTTTCTAATTACAATAATACAGTAGACGTAGTTTAAGTACTGCAAAGCATTTCAGTATGACCGCAGAAAGGTGATTCTCAGCGTAGTGTAGTGTTCAGTATATGGACATAGACTGAAGGTGGGTTTTTTTTCTCCCCGAGCTGTAGAGTGGTAGCTCCGGTTGCATGACCTGAATGACCTTGGGGGTGACTCTCTGTAGTATAGCACCCGATATCGTAATTAAACTCATCCGATCTTCCCACATTTTCCTCAGTCCTCAGCTTTTGTATTAAGAGCAGATTTGGTGGCGTAGATTGAGCCGTTTGTCGCTCAGGCCGCTGGGAGGTTCGGGGCCCCCGTGTGGCCATCCCGCTGTATTGCTGACTCCTGCACACATACAGCATTAAAGTGTTTGCGTTTTCCTATTTTTGGCCATAATCATGCAGCTTCTAGTCTGTGGGAGTTTCTTTCAGTTTTAATTGCTTGCTACTGTTTCAGAACAATCTGGATCTGAACAAATGTGAATCAAAGGTTATGTGCAGCTAGACGAAACAGGCTCATGAAGAGGCTGGTGTGTGTGTGTGTGTGTGTGTGTGTGTGTGTGTCTAAAATTAGACCAGAACTCTGCTCCAGGTGGCATACATGTGGACAATGTGACATCTCGGTTAAAATAAATGAAATCCTCAGCTGATTCAATTTCATGAAAACGTGCCTTTTTAGATGTCATTCCTAAAGAATGTCTCACATTCTGTATTGGGATTTTAGGGAATTCTTCAGCTTCTCCCCCCCCCCCCATTGATTCCTGAATGTACACTGGGAATGGTAGAGGTCCTACTCTTCCTTTGCTTAATGCTTTACCTCTTCTTGAAATGCATGAAGTACAACTTAAACCATTTGACATCAATGTTGCCACCCAGTGCAAGGTAGAGAGAAATGCTTCTTGGAACTGTTTAGCTGTGTGTGTGTGTGTGTGTGTGTGTGTGTGTGTGTGGTGGACAACCCCACCCACTCCACTGTAACACTCAATTTGGTGAATTAGCAGGTAGAGAGTGATTGGCGTGTTGACCGCATGTGGCAGCTTCTGAGAGGGAGTGACCGGCCAACTCCTTCAATGCTTGAGCACTTGTTTGGTTTTCGGGGGGGGGGGTCAGATTTAAGATGCCTACCCACTCGACCAGCCCTGTAGCCTCAAAGGCAGCTTGAGGGGTATAATAGGATTGATGGGCGGGGAGTCGGCTTAGTGACCTAGCCTAAGAAATCACTCACCCCACCCCACCCCACCCCACCCCACCCCACCCTGCACTGGAAAAGCTGTTGCATAGGAGTCAGCCGTTCATGGTGCTGCTACCGATCCGGCCCATTCAGCCGTGTGTGCTACTTCCTCACTGGATCCTTGGCACTACCAGCCTCCTGGTCATTTTTAGCTTATTTAGGAGATATCATTCACATCTGCTTCATTAAACTGCTGTGATACAGTGAAATCCATTTAACAATTTATGTAATATAATCCAGGGAAGGACAGCAATTGGAATTTTGTGTGAGGGCAAATTTTCCCTCCCTTATTTCATTTCATAGATCATTTGAACGCAATTAGATCTCTAATTAAGGAATAGAAAACCCTCAACAAAAGCAGTGTGCCAAAACTGTTTTTTTTCAGCAGACAAAAAGCTAAGTCTCTGGTAAAATAACACAAGTCCTGCAACTGAATTATTCATCAGACAGGTCCTGATACACCTCCACAGTTTAATTTAAGCCAACCCAGAGGCTTGCTGGTACATTAAGTGTGTGCTGCCGCTCTGATCTCATCAGTCTGTGGCTGAGCAAGATTAATGCCTTGTCTTCCTTATCTTGGATATTGACTTTTTTTTTTTTTTGTCCTTCAAGGAGGCAACCGGAATTCCATAGAATGTATGAGAGAATCGTGAAGAGATCTGTTTAATTTTTCATCGAGGCTGCAAGTGGGCATCGGGAATTCCAAATGAAGCCTGCTGGAACCAGCACAGCAGATTTTGAAAGTGTTGTGCTCCACTGGGAGCT